CGTGTGACGATGTTGCAAAGATCATTAAGTTTGAAAACTGGTCATAATTCCCTTTTCTCAGTGCCATTCTGAACTTCAGAAGATCACTAAGCAAATTTAAGGGCTACCTGTAAGTGAAACGAGAGTTTCTCCTTCTTGCAAAGTTGTATTGTGATATCAGCACACAATTGGCCATCCACGGGTCCAGCATATTTGTCCCTAGAGGAGAATAGCACAAAGAACTGAAGTATTTGTGGAGTATGTCAAGCACGGGGGCAATCAGGAGAGTCAGCAGCTCAATGAGTATAAAGATTTATTGCAAACTTAAGCTCTCTACAAGAATCTGAGCTACTAATGGTCAAGGGAAATTAGCAGGAGATAAAAAAAGGCATTCAAGCTGGACTTAGATCTTTTGTGGGCACACAGGGACTCACAACTGATGATGTGCTTGACGCCTCCTGCAGGTTCAGCTTAAACATCTCCTATAGAGACTAATTATTCTTTACCGGCCAACTGGTTACATGATTTGCTCTCCCGTCACTATTTGTGTCCTCAGTTTTACTAGATTGATGCAAACTTAATACTTTGGTCAAGCCAAGAGGTCAGTAATTACTAGCAGGATAACACTTTCTTTTGATAATTGAGCAGCCAGATTTGAGTTGTGTAAACACAACCATAGCCATCTATATATTCTATCCAAGCTTTATCTTCACGCCTCACTTAAACATATAATTGTTCTTTTTTTAAAAAAAGGGGGGGGGAATCTTAAGTCACGCTTCAACTCACAGCAACAACATAGACAAATCTCTGTTATTTTCTTTGCAGCATTATGGATGTAGTTTGACATTGCCTTCTTTTGGAATATATATTTATTTTTTACAGCTCTGGGATTTTCTGATGGTTTATCATTGAAATATTATTCAGCCTCACTTTGATTACTGTGTCTGTCTTTTCTACAATAGCTCTCTTTCCAGAGAGGGCAAATGGGGGAATTAGGCCATGTTGCCTTAAAAAGGCCTTTGTATCTGAGGACGGCATTTTTAGCATCATCCAAGATTCGTTCCTGCCCTTCAGGTAACAGAGGCTACATATTCTTCATTCTTTAGATTCTGAGGTAAAAATTGTCTTGTACTGTGCTAAAAAGAGTCAGAGGTCAATGCCTTTTCTTCCTTTTCCCTCTGCTTCCTTACACTTTCTTTTTCCTTCCCTTATTTTTCCATTTTTCGTTGTCTTTTATATATCAAATGAATAAATAAATAAACATTCTCAGATAAAATTTGTCAACCTACAACTGTTTTTTACAGTTGCAATGGATAGCTGTGAATGTTGGACCATAAGAAAGGCTGAGCGCCAAAGAATGGAGGCCTTTGAACTATGGTGCTGGAGAAGACTCCTGTGAGTCCCTTGGACTACAAGGCCATCCAACTGGTCAGTCCTAGAGGAGATCAACCCTGACTGCTCTTTAGAAGNTCCATCTATCGTCCATCTCTGTCTCTGTCTTTCTCCTTCCAAATTCAATTTATCCAATATGTACAGAAACTCTCTGTAAGAAACTGTGCACCTCCAGACAAAAGGAAGGAAATAATTTTATTGACATTTCCTTTACACCCTATGCAAGCCACGAAAATTGTCACCATAAAGCATATGTAGAAAAATACTTGAACCATATTGGCACTGAAGAGAGTCCCTTGCTGATTATGTCATAGGTAGATTCCCCCATCATTATAACCACTCTGTTGTCATCATCATTATCCTTATGGTATCATCACAATAAATCCTAAGCATTAAAATCTCAGTGTCATTCCAAGCTTTACATCTTCAATTATGGATAGATGAGGGACCAATTGCTCTTATGCTTTAAGAGTGATCAAGATTCAGAGATAGTCCTTTAGACAAGTTTTTTTTTTCACGGCCTTGGAAACTTTAAGATGTCTGGACTAACTCCTAGAATTCTCCAAGCCAGCATATTAACTGGGGAATTCTGGGTATTGAAGTCCAGATGTCTTAACCTTGTCAAGACTGTGGGGGGAAAAAAACTGCTTTAGACCATTAAAAGCCCTTTCTCTATGCCTGTTCCAATTATTCCACTGAGTTTGACTAGCATGATCCCATGGAGAGGTCTCTATTAGTTGGGAGAATCATTGGTCAGGCAAAAAATCATGAAATAGACAAATAAAGGGAGAAAGAAAATAGATGTATATATTGTTCTCCTACCTAAAGAGTTGTGGTGGATTTCCTGGTACGACCTCTCATTAGGCCTCAAGTCAAAGTTCTACAACAATGACAGATGTCCTTACGTACCCTACAACTCAAAGATATTGGCGGGTGGGAAAAATATTGCACATGTGTGGATAACAACCTCACCAGTAGCAGGTAAATATATATATTCCAGTCTGCATCATATGATACATTAGAAGGCTGATGCCATCCATTCTTCTAAGAAGAATGGAGAGCTTGCTTTGTTTGCATTTTGTTCATACATGTTTATCCGCATTCTACCCTTATGGAATTGTCATCCTACAATCACAGATCAATTTAATCAAAAGTAAGATCCTGTGCTGCTTGTCATTTCTTTAATTACCAATAGAAGAGAATATTTGTAGCTCAGGATTGAACTGTGAGGTCCTCGGCACTGTCTGAGCTTGGCTGTTTTCTTGCAGATGTTTCATTACTAACTCAGTAAAACGATCAGTGCAAGAAAGCCAAACCCCACTCCCTTCTAGCATTGATAACGTTATGTAGTTTGGTCATGAAATGCTTGCAAGAAAGCAGCCAGGCTGACAGAGCAATGAGGACTTACACTTCTCTAATTTTCCTACATTCAGTGTAATATATAAGATGTTTTACCTGCTTCTGTTGTAACCAGGTCAACTTGAAAGCTTAAAATAGTTATCCACATTATTTATAGAATTTCCCCCCAACTTGCAATATACAGGTTGAAGAAAGAAAGAAAGAAAGAAAGAAAGAAAGAAAGAAAGAAAGAAAGAAAGAAAGAAAGAAAGAAATGGAGGGAGGGAGGGAGGAAGGAAGGAAAGAAAGAAAAAGAAGGAAGGAAAGAAAGAAAGAGAGGGAGGGAGGGAGAAAGGAAGAAAAGAAAGAAAAAGAAGGAAGGAAAGAAAGAAAGAGAGGGAGGGAGGGAGAAAGGAAGAAAAGAAAGAAAAAGAAGGAAGGTAGAAAA